CACTGGTTGCTATTTCTTTCTTCGTTGGTTGCTTTTCCATGGCTGCAGTGCTGAACAGGGAGGGTTTGAGAAGAAAACAAATTTTTGGGGAGGAAGATTTGGTAGAAGCCGATGCTGCAAGTATGGGAATTTTATATGTTTTTTCTATTATTTATTTATTTTTATTTTTAATCCACGTGGATTGGTGGGGACAAAATATCGCCTACTAAGCATTCTCCATCAATCCAGTCACCCCGTTAATTGACACTGTTAACGAAATGGACAAAAGTGGCTATTTCGTGTATTTCGATAGTTGTGTCTATATTTGTCACAAACGTGAAAGTTGTGGCCATACAAGTGTATTTGCCATAAAAAAGTTATAGATTTTACGTGAAGAATTTGACATAATTATCATGTTTGTTTAAAAGTAGGAATTTTGGGCCCAAAGTGTTTAATGTCAATTTTACCCCTTCTCATATATAGAAAAACATGGCCCAAAACTGGCAAATATTTGGGTCCTTCGATTCTCGTCTTCCTTGACTCATTTCTTCCTTCACTTGTCTCCTGTTAGTGACCCAGAACCCACCAATCATCTTCGGGATAATGAGAACGAGGAACACCTCACCTCAATTAGAGCTCCGGTCTTCTTTCGTTCATCGTCCGAGAAGGAAAATCTAGGGTGGAGATGTTCGTTGGGTTCATCGAGCAACATGTTCGCTGAAAGCCAATGTGTTGCGTAGCGATAAGGAGGAACGCCTCAGTGAGTTGGAAACCAAAGATCGGGATTTGTTCCCTCAAGTAGAGGTTGGAAAGACACGTAGGAGGAGAGGTCAAAGAGGTCAAGATGTTGATATGAATTGAATCAGATTATATGTCATCGACTAGAAGCCAGGGGGTCTACGGTGTATGGGTTTGTACACGTTTCGGCTTCTGTGTTGGACCTGGTCTGTAACCTTATTCTTTGCCATATTGGATTAGGGTTATTCCATTGGAGAAGTACTGTATATACTTCTTATACTGTTATGTAATCTGTAATCTACTCAAGTATAGTGAAGCTGGCCTCTCTTGCGCCCGTGGACTAAATAACACACGTTGTGTTAGTGAACCACACAAATATGTGTGTTCTTTTCTTTTCTTGCTGATAGTTGTCTTTCTTACGTTGTCTATTAACCTCGGTCCGTCATGACACAGAAGTTGGAAGGAGAGGAAGAGGTTGAGAAGGGTTAAAGCTGGAATAAACACAAACACAGAGATTTCCAAGTAGATGAGGGTGGCTATTTTGAAATCTTTGCATAGCAGTTTCAAAACTGTCGATAGCCAAAGTCTCTCGATTTTCTTAGCCTTCTCAAACACAGAGATCTAGTAATGAAATTCAGGAAGAACACAGATCTAGTAATGAAATTCCTAACCCAAACAACCCCTCAGCTCTTTACTACATGTAGTGATGAATGGATGATGGGCAGAGATGATTGATTTTGGGATTGATAAAGAAGATATTTAGGGTTTGGAAAAGAACATAATGGAATTAGGATTGGAGAGGGAGATTGGGACAATCTACGTAACTTTGATAATTTGTTTATTGATTGATTGATGACGAAATAGGTAAACGACAATATATAGACGTGAATCCGAAACCCTAATCGACTTAACCCTAACAAATGACTAAACTACCCCTAACTAATAGTCGTGCCCTCATCAGTCCCTCCCTCTTGAAAACAACCTTGATCTCAAGGTTGAAGCCAAATATGAACCCATACTGACACTAACTTTAAACCTAAATCATTCATCTAAATTATTGCTACTATTTGTTTCTAAACATACAATAACTAAATACCAAAACCATTGTTTTCACAAACAACCACGACGGGTTTTCATATTCTGAAAGAAATGCAAAATACATTCATTGTCTACGTGCGTGCGTAAGTCTCTTTCAATGTATCCTACTATATAATCATTAGCAAACTGATCTCCAATTCGACTTCGAAGCTTGTTCTTGATATAGCTTAAAGCTGAAAATGCTTTTTCTACACTTGCAGTTGCAACTGGAAGAGTCAAAACTAGCTTCAGAAGCAAATAAACAAACGGATATGACTGATGCACTTTTGTCTCCACCATTACTCGAGAAAGTTCATCAATTCCTTTTAGTCTAGCAAATCTCTCATCATCCATAACATCACGATAATACCCAATAAACTGTTGTCGAATAATAGTATCATGGATGGAACCAAACTCAGCAGGATAAAATCAGAAGTGGGGTCATTCTGAATTGTATCCAACACATCAACAATAGCAGAGAACATGCTAACCAAATTGATAAGCGCCCCATAGTAAGAACCCCAACGAGTATCACCTGGTCTTTTAAGAGCCATTTCTTGATTCAATCCTCTTTCAGTCTCTCATTCATTAGCAGCTACAGCCTCAACAATCTTCTCAACTTGAGCATCCCGAATAAACTCAGATCGTTTGCAAGATGCTCCAATCAGATTCATCACATTATTGACAGTCTTGAAAAAATCACCAACTTCAAGATGATTCTTAGCTACAGCAACAAGAGCCAACTGAAGCTAATGTGCAAAATATTGAATGTAATAAGCAGAAGAATTTTTAGCTAAGATCAAACTCTTCAACCCATTGATTTGTCCTTTCATGTTGCTAGCTCCATAGTAGCCTTGTCCCCTTATTCTTGACATACTCAATCCATGTTTTGAAAGCATAGTTTCAATTTCACCCTTAAGTGTTAAGGCTTTGGTATTTGCCACATGAGTAGTACCAAGAAACCTCTCCATAACCAAACCATGATCATTCACATAGCGTAAAACAATGGCCATTTGTTCCTTGGTTGAAGCATCACGAGTCTCATCAACTAATATGCAAAAGAAGTTATTTCATAGATCTTGAATGATTTTCTTGGTTGTTTCAGAAGCCATTGCATGAACAAGATCTCTCAAAACAACTCTTTCTACTTCTTCTCTACCACAAGCATGAAACTCCAATAGCTCAAGAAAGTTACCTTTGTTGCTTGAAGATGATGATTCATTGTGCCCACGAAAAGCTAATCCACCCCGCATAAGAAACTTTATGCACTCAAGTGAAGCCATCAATCGAGTTTGATAATCTGTTTTGGTTTGATCTGATTGTTTAAATAAACTAGATGCAATGCCTCGTGATTGCTTCAACAAAAGTCTGCATTGCCTTTAGCTTTGTTGTGGAAGCTGTTATGCCTGCCCACATGATCAGCAAAACACTTCTTTCTATTCCACCCTCTGAAACCTTCACCAACCAAACCATCATGTGCTCCACTTTTCTTACCAAACAAATAACAGTAGAGACAAAATGTTGCATCTTTCCCAATACTGTATTCAAGCCAATTATACTATAGAAACCAAGATGAACGGAATCTGCGTTTCTTCCCACTAAAGTCATTATATGGAACATGATGACCTTTAGGTTGGCACAGACCATTTTCAAGATAAAACCTTCTAACTTCAGGATGAAAACTTTAGGTTGGCACACGATGACCTTTAGGTTGGCACATCAGGATGAAAACTAGAAACTTTATCTCGCACATCAGGATGAAAACTAGAAACTTTATCTCTTAACCCCGGATCCATTTTCAATGAATTCATATCAAACCGGCTTTCTTCATATTCAAATGAAGAATCACTTTCACTTTCTTGAGATGAAGATGAAGACTCACTTTGTCGTGAAGTTAGATTTATCGAAACCGATACATTTGATTGTCGATTCTCGGAAGAAACCACCACCGTTGAAGGAGGAAAAGTTTGGGCTTGTCTACTTCCACTTCCTTCCAAATCTTGGGCTATAGTAATTGGGGAAGTCTTTTCTTCTTTGGAAAGTAATACTTCTCCATTTGAAAGATATGATTTGCCAAGAAAATTACACAATAAGCAACACAATTTCAGTTCTATTTACATATCGACAAAAACAATTATCATGAGTTACATCGGTGAACAACACAATATAATTTCAGGTTTCAATTTCACAGCTTACCTATAACAAAAAGGTGAAATAGAATGGAAGGATTGTCGCCCATCGCCTACTGCCGCTTGCCTGTGGACGATGACTTTTGCTGTCTACTGACTGCTGGCACGGCTGGCCTGTCTGCAGCCTACTGGTAGTTGCCGCAAGGAGGTGATAAGGAGAACGAAAGGCAAAGGCCTAAGGGAAATCAAGGAGAAAGGACAAAAATGGTTGGGGTTGCCGGGTTGGATTGGTGGTGTCGTGGTGGTCGCCTGGTCGGAGGAAAATCCCCTTTTCCCATGTCGCCTATCTGTCTTCTGCTGTGAAAAAATGAAGAGGGCTGAGGAGTAAACGGATTGGATTAGGTTTTTGTTTAATTGGGATTTCGTTTAGGAACAAACTATATTTATAATGTTTCTACTTATAATCAAAGAATAGGATGTAGCGTAGCTGTAAAGCTGCGTTGTGTGACCTGATGGTGCTGGGTTCGATACTTGTGTGGAGGGGGGTATTTTTTTCCAAGTAAAAAATGACCCCTGTCGTGGGACAGGGGCAAATGTGGCTGCCTCCCCCTCTGTATACAACCAACTCCTGAAATCCCCTGTATCGGCGCGAGTTGTTGTTGAGCGTCCCGCTACCCATAGCAGTAGGCGGCGGCATAGTTAGTAAATACTCCGTTTAATACACGTATATGTACCCGTACGTACTTTATCCGTTTAAAACTTCCGTATCCGTATTATTGTCAAGCCTTTTCTTTTTTGACCGTTCATTTGATGGCTCCCGTATTAAACACGTTTAAAACCCGTATAACACGTTTAATATCCATATTTAATGAATCAAATAACGAACTTTACCATTATTTATATATTTATTTTTAAAATAATAAATTTTATATATTTATGGCAAATAACGTACTATTAAACGTAACATTAGCATAGAAACGAAGTAAAATACCCGTACGTATTTTATACGTAACTTTCCCGTACCGTATTTTACTAACTATGGGCGGCGGCGGCTCCTCGAGAGCTTACTGAATCTGGATGGTGGGCGTCCTGTATGAAGTGGGTTTGGCCGATGGAGGTACTATAGTCGGAGAGGCAATTTTAGTCATGAGCGGCAGCGCCACTGACACTTCTTTGGTGAGTACTGCGGCGGTAGACCTCGTGATTAGCGAGGGCACAGATGGCGTCGAAACCATGAAGGTAGCGACACCCTCAGTAGCAGCGACGACAGTGGAATAGGGGCGGTAGTCGGTTTCTCTTCGTGAGCATCCTTGGGTGTTGTCGGCGCAGAAATCATGACCGCGACTTCAGCCGCTCGGTCTGCCTCCACCTTTCCCAATTGTTTCGTCCAGGAAACGTGCTCATGGAGCTGGCGTAGGAACGGCTCGAAGATTTGTGCTAACGGATATGCGGATTGAAACCGCTCTGATACCATCCAATGAATGGATGATGGGTAGAGATGATTGATTTCAGGATTGATAAAGAAAATATTTAGGGTTTGGAAAAGAACATAATGGAATTAGGGATACGAGAGGGAGATTGGGATAATCTATGTAACTCTAATAATTTGTTTATTGATTGATTGATGACGAAATAGGTAAACGACAATATATAGATGCGAATTCAAAACCCTAATCGACTTAACCCTTACAAATGATTAAACTACCCCTGACTAATAGTCGTGCCTTCATCATGTATACATCTAACGTCATATATTCCAACAAAAGAGTATGATGCCAACGTCTTCACCCCATGGAGGAGGAGACTACAATGTTAGTAACGATAATAAATAGAGGCAAATCATCATCAAAATCACAACTCGACGACGGTACTATCAAGCTTTTCTATATTTTCTCCGCAGCTGATTTTCATGGCCATATGTAGTTGCAGTTTGTGAATTCCTTTACCAATAATATAATAGTTTAGATTCTCAAAACATGATCAAAACAACCACCTCCATTTGAACTCGACGTACCCGATCACCGACAACGGTTGCGGCAGGCCCAGGTACGACGACGCTGTTGGAAATTTGGTTGAACCAAACTAACCGGGTCAAACTGGTTTGAGGTTGGACCGAGTTAGTTAAATTATTGGCTCAGGACAATTAAAATTAATTAGCCTACAATTCCAATTGATTATCCAACCGCTCACTTGGTCCTGGCAACGTTTCTTTATAATTAAAGTGGCCATATTTATAATGCATGGACGGTTGTGGAGGGCAATTTCATTTGCAGGGCCATTCCAATTTAAAGGTTCCATGAACGTTTGGAATTGGTGGTTGGATTATTTTGATAATGGCAACGGATGGGGACCTTGGTTCATGAAGAGACGTCTCTTCCTAGTAGGCAGGCCGCTTGGTTCCAACCGTACCGGCTAATCAAATTAATGGTGCCATGCATTTGATTTGAATAATTCCATGTATTGTTCCTATCTTTTCCCATAAGTTGCAACGGTTTACTCGGAACAAGGTAACGTTTCGGATTGAAACAACATGCTTGTTCCGTCTCTATAAATAGAGATGGTTGCATTGGGAAGAAGAGACACACCAAAAATCAATTCTTCTTCCTACTAAAAGTTCTAAGTATGCTTTAGGTACTTAAGCTTGGAACCTAAAGTGATGATAGTTTTATCCTACGAAGAAATTTCCTGTAACCCTAGGCTTGTTGAGGGTGGAAATATTCTTTACGGAAAGTGAACGTAGTTCACGACTCTATCATAATCCTAGTCACCCGGTCTCGGGCTATCGTATGTATACCCTCGTCCCTAAAAGTCCTAACAGACGCCCCTTCCACTAGCCTCCACCTGTCAACCCACCGTCATAGAATAAAGGGTCATACGCATAATATGAGCCTCTACTATGACGTTTATCAAACATGCCCCTTTACTATTTTTTACATCAAACATGCCCCTGTACTTTGTAAAAATGATCAAACATGTCATTTTGTTAAAATTTTCATCCAAAAACCGTTAACCAAGGCCGAACTTTAGTTTGGGAGACACAAATGACTAAAATATCCCTAATAAATTTACTTTATAATTTTTTGGTTCTTTTGTATAATCAAAATCATCCAAAAACCGTTAACCAAGGTCGAACTTTAGTTTGGGAGACACAAATGACTACAATATCCCTAATAAATTCACTTTAGAATTTTTTTGGTTCTTTTGTATAATCAAATCATTCAAATAATTTCACTTTGAAAAGACCCAGGGAAATAAAATAGGGGACAAAACTAACATTTTTCCTCCCATTTGTCGATGTCGGGTCGTCTAAATCTCGGTTCAACCATGATTGACGATTTTTTCAATGGAAATTTTAACAGAATGACATGTTTGATAACTTTTTCAAAGTACAGGGGCATATTTTATGTAAAAAATAGTAGAGGAGCATGTTTGATAAAACGTTATAGTAGAGGGTATATTATACCTATAACCCTAAAATAAAATAAATATATAGCATAATTAGATGCTGTCACAGTTTTGGGTTGGATAACGAGTGGACACGAAGACATAATTATTGGATGAAAAGGACGTGGCAGCTGCTAATTACTCTCCAAAAAAAAGTTAAATCGCCCATTAGTTGGTCAAGCATGGATCTACGTTAAGTAACGTCGTACTTTTTATGTATTATAACCAACGTAAATGCCGGCAATATCTAAAGTGCCGTTACGGTACCCGTGCCGGCCGGGCCGCCATTACCACCATTGTGGTTGAGAAGAAGCTCAACTGCTCAAGGACGACGGGTATGATGATAAGATCAATATTCATCTGTCTCTCTCGCTTGCCGGAGAAGAGGTGAATCGGGCCGACCGCCACTAATGGAAGACGATGGCAACATATTGTTCTTGGCGTTTGCTGTTAAAAGAATAATCATAATTGAAAGTTGAAGAAAAAGTTTGGGTTAAAAATGATCAACCAGAAAAAACAGGTCAAACCGATCGAGGGTTTTTTATTTATTTATTTATTTATAACAAACCGATCGAGGTTCGATGGTGGTTACAAATGAAAGTCCTGATTTAATATTATATATTTATCGGTGGAGAATATGGCGGCACCGGCACGACAACACAGTTGTTGTCCGTAAATGCATGTCTTTCTACCACTATTATATGGAGATTCTCGATAATAACATACTCTATTCAAAAATTTCAGCCTGGTGACTTGTGAGAGTTTGTAGGAAGGATGCTTTTGTCGTTAAAGTATTAAAATAAAGCATTTTCAAACATCTAAAATATTAATATTTCATACACGCCATATTTTTATGAATCCTAAGAAAATTCAAGTTTTCCTGAATTTTTCTACACATCCCATTCGGGAGAAAAAACTTCTATCTTCCGTACCATCATTTCGAATAATAAATGAACCAATTTTTCTCATGTTTATCTATTTTTTATTCATAAATAATAAATGTGCCCAAATAAAATATTTATAACCTTTAGTTTGAAATCTAACATGTGAGATTTTAAACTATTGTGTTAGTTTAAAATATTCAATTGATAAAGGTTTCATATTTGCAAACATTTTAGTTTTACACTTAAGTAAAATTTCAATCAAAATCAAGGAGAAGAAGGAAGAGTCTATTGATAGTGGAGATAGTGGATTCTAAAATACGGATAGTGAGTAGTGGCGTTGTTGAGAAGAAGGGATAGACCATTGTTGGTGGACAGCGAGGTCTCAGTAATAAATATGAAACTACAACCATAGGCGGAGCCAAAGGCAATTGAATGTGTCCCGGGACACATGTAACTTTTGGGGAAAATAAAATACTCATATATATGTATTAATTAAGGATTGTACTCATCACCTTTAGGTAATATAAAAGTGAATTATCACTACACTACACTACAAGTTATTTCAAGTTTAAAAGCTAGCATAAACTAATTTATCACACTATAAACAAAATTCACAATACTAAAAAATCGATCTCTATGTCTTTTGTAGTTAGTTTTGACTCTACTCGTTGCAATTGCAAGTGTAAAAAGAACATTTTCAGCTTTGAGTTATATCAAAAACAAAGTTTCAAAGTCGAATTGCGACCAATTTGCTAATGGTTGCTTAGTCGGATACATTGAGAATTTGAAAACGTGTTGTAAGTGCTTATGAAAATAATGATTGTGTTAGTCTAGTATTTCATTAATATCAATCAATGAATTATTTGAATATTATTAGTTTTAATTATATTTATTAAATAATTATATATTTATATTATGGAAATAGGACACAGGTACTTTCAAACTCTGGCTCCGCCACTGACTACAACTATTGACAGAAATGAAGCAATATCAAAGAAGTCCAAAATAAAAATTACAGTAATTTATCATAACAAGAAGTAAATCGAAGTGTAGTTTGATATAATAATTTAAGAGTTAGTTCCCTCCCCGAGTTAGTTTGTGTAATGAACGAACGAGTGAATGATAGTGCAATGTGAACAATTGCAGAGAAGAGTTCAGAAAGGTTTACAATTACAAGGAAGAGCATCCTAATGTGAAAGTTGTCTCCGCTGTAAGCAAAACCGTAGCTAGCTACTGCTTGCTGATTCAGTAATGGATATCAACTTGTTAAACAAAGAGTTATTGTTGAGTGAATGCAATGTCCATTTGAGTAATTCAAGATACAGGTGCGTGGGAAGCTTTTATTGCTGAAGTGTTACCTTCATCTTGGTCATCTTATATTGTGTCTCAATGTCGGTACAATTTTCCCTTGCTCATGAATGTGTGGGTGAGAATGCAGAAAATGATGATAATGATGATGAAGAAGAAGAGCATGACAAAGCGTCGAAGAAGCTTAAAGTCAATGGCACCAAGGATGATGATGAGGCAGACTCTGAGGTAGAGGTTTCTTACACTCTGTTTTTTTAAGAGGGAAAGGGAAGGATTGAATGGAAAACACCATTTCCGAGGGCTTTTCCCTTGTTTTTTAAGACCGCTACAGTGTCAGCAGAAAAGAAATAGGAAAGAAACCTTACTGTTCCCCAGCCCCTCCAATTTGGGGAGAAAGTAGACTTGATGGAGTCACGATGGTGGTGCCCACCACTTCCTTCTTTGGTTATTTATTTTCCTTTATATGTTATATTATTTGTTTTATATATTTATTTATTGTAGTTTTCGGTACCCATCCCTCATATATGATATGATATATTATTATTGGTTTTTTTCATAATGAGTATGTAATTTCTCTTATAAGGGGGGTTTATGAATTTGGAAGATATTAATTTCTTAAGTTAAGGGATGTTTTTCTGTTAATTTTTCACCCTTTTCCTATTTAACATGGAGTATTATGAATTTGGAAGATAATTGTATTGTTAATTTGTAATAAGAAGATATAATAATAATTAAGGATCGAGAAATTTACTAGAGTTTCAATAGTTAACTATCACCTACCGATTTTGCTTTCGGTACGAGTTTGTTAGGTTAAATCGTATGTACCGTATGGTTTGTAACATTGGTAATAATTATTGATACTTCTTTTTATAAGTATTACACTTCACATGCCTATATTTCGTATTTTTAAAATATTCTTGGACCTTTTTTATTTCTAAATAAATTATTTCTTGTTAAACATAATTTAGGAAAGGATCTTATCATGAATAATTATAGGCAAATATAATTATGGAATGTGATCTTATTTGCTTTTAAAATCAATGTTTGTGAAATTGTACCGTATGGACGGTTTTACCAGACTATTGGACGAATTTATATATGTCTAGTATTAGCAGATGACCTACTTTTAGAAGAGTTTGTGTATGTGTAGTGTGATGTGTTATTTGTTTATGTTTTTAGTTGCTATGTTGATAAATCAACAAAATAGCAAACGAAATATTAATAATAGGTTGATACCTTTTTTCAAATGATATACTTTTGATTTTTAATAGTGAACAAAATTAGCAAGAAAGTAAAAATTTAATTCACAATTTATAAGCAATGAAAATAATATCTATATATAATCAAATTATTTCACTATTACATACCCAATAAAATAACATATACATCACAATTCCCAAAACACATTTTCCTTCCCACTTTCACTCTGTTTTTTTAGGATGGAAAGTGGGGGGAAAAGAAAAGTGGAAGGGAAAGCACAGGAACCAAGATGTGTTCCCTTGTTTTTTAAGCTTTACAACAGTAATCGAGGAAAGAAAATATAAGGAAAGTGTACTGTAGGAGGCTACCCTCCATTTCGGAGAGAAAGCTAGGTGGGAACTGAGGTTTTCATTTTTTCTTTCCCAAAATTTCCTTTTGTTTTACCTTCCCAAATTCAGTGGCGTGGCTTCTCCACAATTCTCTCAAGTGGCATTTCTTTTTTGGTAAGGGGTTTATGATGGGTTTTTAAAATTAAGAATATGAATATATTAATTAGTGAGATAATTAGTAAGCCAATGAGTTTAATTAGTGAGATAAACGAGTTAATATGTTTTTGAGAAGCATAGTTAGTAAATACTGCTTTTAATACACGTATATGTATCAGTACATATTTTATTCGTTTAAAACTTTCATATTCGTATTATTGTCAAGAAATTTCATTTTTTTCCGTTTATTTGATGGCTCTCGTACGTATTTTATCCGTTTATGATTTCCATAATTAATTTGATACATTTATGACTATTACCGTAATATCTAACGTAACATTAGGTTAAAGATGAAGTAAAATACATGTACGTATTTTATGAGAAAATTTTATGGGAGTTAAAATGAATGAGATGCTAAATCAAGAAAATTTATAATGAACCAAATTAGAAATAAAAAATAAATTTGATTCACTATTATTATTAATGAAAATAATATCAACAAATAATTAAATTATTTACAATTACATAACTCATAAAATAACATAATTAACACACTTCCCAATATATTTTTTCTCTCCCACTTTACCCTTCACTTTCTTCTATAAAACAACATTTTCCTTCTACTCTAAACTTTCTCTCCCTTCCTTTTCCCTCCCCTTCAAATGTGCCTTCCCCTTCATTTTCTTCTCTTCCTTCGGAAACAGAGTGTTATAAAACAACAGTTTCCTTCCACTTTCCTTAACCTCCAAATTGTCCCTCCCCTCCTAATTCCCTTCCCCTCCCTTCCATTTTCCTCCCTTCCTTCGGGAACATAGTGTTAATGTAGCAACAGAAATTGCCTAGTCGAGATAGATGGATTACCCTTTAGCTTCCAGTATCATTTCATTGGGTCATTTCTACCACAGGAGGAAGATGATGATGACAACGAAAGATGATGATTGAAGTATTGGGATTTGTTCAATGTCGCGGCTGAACATCCGTGGATTTTGTAAGATTATAGGCTTTTGGAGTTTCAAGGGGATAGGGGTGGGCGTTCGGTCCGGTTTTAACTCTCCGAACCGAACCGAACCGACCCCGAACCGACCGAAACCGAATTTCCTTCATTTTGGATCGGAATTCGGATGCAAAATCCTTCTACTTCGGAATACATGGTGGTACCGCCCGAAACCGAATTCCGAATTCCGAACCGTAAACCGAAATGTTGTATAAGCTAGTAAGTGGTAATGGGCCAAGGGGCAAGGGCTGGGCTGCAAGCCCAAACCCAATTGAAGAAACCCAGCCCAGCAGCCAGCCTCCCAATGACCCAATCCCAACCGAAACAAGCCCTAACAACCCCTAACCCTCTCGGCCTCTGCCTCTCCTCTCTGCCTCTCGAGTCTCGCCCTCCACCTCCAGCAGCCGCCAGCCAGTCTCCTTCGAATCGATCGTCTCCCGACCCTCCAGCGACCAGCAGCCAAAACTCCATTCCGTTCCGTCTCCCGACCCTCAGTCGCCGTCGCCGCCGCCCTCCCATCACTGATTTCCAGTCGCCGCCACGCCTGCCTCCCAACAACAACTCGAGTCTCGAGAGTCGAGAGTCGCCGCCCTCCATCTCTGCACCATGAGTCACCGCCGGCGCCGGGGGTAGCAGAGCAGAGCACGACAGCCAGTCAGCCACCACCATCCAGCTTCCAGCAGTGCAGGCGCAGGGCCCCCATTGTCGCCCCTCGTCGACGGCAGTCGCCACTCGCCATCTGCCCATCTCTCTCCATCGAAAGCCATGAGCACCACCAATCGAAAATCTAGCAAACGAAAAAATCCTGGCAGCTCTTCTCACACTGACGGTCCAATTCCAAATATTGCAACCGAGGATGTTCATGTTTTGGTAACTATCTATTTCCAGTTTTGATGTCTATTCTGTAAAATGAAGCTAGCTAGCATAAAAAAAAACCAAGAAAAAAGACAGCAGGGGCCTAATTGAACTATTGAGGTCTGAAGCATGGTTTGATTGACTTCGATTTATATATGTTTATGTTTGTTAATTGATAGAAAAAAGATAGCTAGCTAATAGCATTAAGAGGAAAAAGATAGAAAAAAGACAGCAGGGGTCAAAAATGAAGAATGGTTTGATTTATGTTTGTGTTTGGATGATTTAGGACCAAGAATCATCAGAGAATGAAGTTCCCGAGCCAGGGGGTGGTGATCCTTCAGCTCCTCCTGCTGGTGTTCGTTCTACAACACATATTCGATCCTCAAAAAGGAAAGATATGGAGCCACGTGCTCCATGTTGGAAGCAGTTCTCAAAGTTCAATGACAAGGACGACAATAAGAAGTCAAGGTGCGACATTTGTGGGATTGAGTATGATGCTGATCCACAAAAGAATGGAACCAATGCCATGAATGCTCACATGCGAAGAGGTTGTAGGAGCATAAAAGGTACCACTCAGCAACTATTGAACTTAGAGAAAACTGGGATTGAGAATGAGGGTGCTTTAACTAACTGGAAATTTGATCAAGAAGCTATAAGAAAGGGATTAGCTTACATGATCACTGTTGATGAGCTTCCGTTCAAATTTGTGGAGGGGATGGGGTTTAAGTACTTCATGTCACTATGTTGCCCTAGGTTTAATATTCCTTCTAGAAGAACAATGACTAGGGATTGTTTTGGTTTCTATGGTGAGATGAAAGACAAGTTGAAAAAGTTTTTTCAAAGTTGCGAAGGAAGTGTGTGTTTGACTACTGATGCATGGACTTCAAACAAACAAGATAGCTTTATGTGCTTGACTGCTCACTTTATTGATCAAGATTGGAAGTTAAGAAAGAAGATCATAAATTTTGGTGAACTTAAAGGTCATAAGGGAGTGGATATTGCTGAGGGTATTGTTGATTGTCTTGATGGTTGGGGAATTAAGAAGGTATTCTCTATTACCGTGGATAATGCATCCTCCAATGATACAGCTGTTGCAAAATTGAAGGAAGTGTTCAATGCTAGAGGTATTAGCATCTGTGATAATGCATTCCTTCATATGAGATGTGTAGCTCACATCTTAAATCTAGTTGTGTCTGATGGACTTGGAGATATCTCGTTGTCTGTGAAGAGGATTAGGGAAGCGGTGAGGTTTATTAGAAACTCACCTGAAAGGTTGAAAAGATTTCATGAGTTTGCTGCAGTTCAGAAGATAGAAGGCAAACGAGGGTTATGTCTTGACGTTCCCACAAGATGGAACTCGACATTCCTGATGTTGCAAGCTGCTGAGAGGTTTGAGAAGGTCTTTATGATGTACGAAATGTATGACGAGCAATTTCGAAAGGACTTGGAAAGCAAGAAAGATAGACATGGCATAATTGGGGTTCCTGAGAAGACTGATTGGGATAATGCAAGGAGAATGATGGGTTTTCTGGGTCGTTTCTATGACTTCACCTTGAAGATCTCAGGTTCCCATTATACTACTTCTAACTTGTTTCTACAAGAAGTGCATTCCCTATATCATTTGATTAACAAGTGGGTGGAAGAAGTTGAAAAAGATTATGACTTGAGTGTCATGGCTAAGAAGATGAAGCTAAAGTATGAGAAGTATTGGGGTGATGTTGATAAAATGAACAAGTTACTCTACATTGCCACTGTAATGGACCCGAGGTACAAGCTGGGATTTCTGGAGTACGGGTTGAAGAGGGTCTATCCTGAAGATGGCAAGGGAGGACGTATGGCAGAAGATGTGCGCAAGGCGACATTTGAGCTCTTTGCTCACTATGAACAAGTGTGGAAGTCAAAACAACATAAGGGTGCTTCTACTGCTACTTTGACTCCTATTGTGGAGGAGTGTGGTAATGATGTGATTGATGTTCTTGCTGAGTATAAACGACATAGAGAGCAAATTGATGGGGCGGTGAACAAATCTGAGCTTGAAAGATACCTTCGTGAAGCTGATGAGCCGATGGAGATGAACTTTGATGTATTAGGTTGGTGGAAGGTTAATTGTTCGAGGTTTCCAGCCCTTTCTATGATGGCTAAGGATGTTCTAGCGGTCCCAATTTCTACCGTTGCATCCGAATCTGCATTTAGTGCCGGTGGGAGGATTCTCGATGATTTCAGAAGTTCATTGACTCCTAGAATAGTGGAGGCCTTAATTTGTAGCTCAGATTGGATTCGAGGTGATTCTAGACCATCATTAGATGAGGAGGACGCGGAAGAGGTTGACAAAATAGATGAAGGTAAAATCTTAAAACTAGCATTACATATTTACATTGTGATTGATTTTTAGCTTATGATTAGTCTATATTGATTTTTTTTGGTTTGATGTTGCAGAATTGAACAAGTTGATGGATGCAATATCCATTAGAGATAACCTTGTTTCATCTACTTCCACTTCGAATGTAACAAGTGGTCGTACCGATGGCGATGGATCTAGTAGTGGTTTTTGTGATAGTTCCGATTTCATGCATGATTGATCTCACAAGTAGGTAATCTTAACTTTTTAGAGCAATGGTTTTATTCTATTTGTATTTATCTCTATATTTATTCATCACTAACCATTTTTTTCATGTATAATTCTTAGGCCTTGGCTAGCAAAGGAGTCAATTGTCCAAGATTGAAGAAACAAGAAGTAAGGAGCAATGAAGAACCAAGAGATGATAAATGGACTTTGGAGTTTCAATTTATGTTTTTAAGTATGATGTAATTTATCTTTTCATATGGTAGACTTTGATGTTTGAATGGTGGATTTTGGTATTTGTACTTGTCTTGAATTTTAGAATGGTTGACAATTGATGTTTGAGACTTTGTGTGCTTATTTGTTGTCTCAAGTTCCTCTAAAAAAATGAGGCAGCAGCTGCCATAAAAAAAAGAGGCAGTAGTTCCTCTAAAAAAATGAGGCAGCAGGTCATTCCCAAACATACAGCAGGTCCTTTTCGGGTTGACCACCGAACCGAACCGAACCGGTCTATAATTCGGTTCGGTCGAACCGAACCGAATTATATTCCGGTTCGAGTTCGGTCTGGCCATTTGAGGAAGCAGCCGACCCGGTATCCATCTTTTCGGTTCGGTTTCGACCGAACCGAACCGATGCCCACCCCTACAAGGGGAGCCTTAATAATGTTTAGTTGTAAGTTATAACTCAATTACTTTGTGTTACTGTGTGATTGGCTTTTGGCTTCCAGGCATTTGATAGAAGTTAGTGAAGTTACTACTTTGCTGCAATATTATCTAGGAGAAAACTGAAACTTCAGTACTTCACTCATAGTCTAACTTCAGTCTGTGCCAGCAGATTTCTCCGGGCCCATAGTAAAAAGATCTTCTATATGGCTTGAGGTATCAGGTTCGGGCTCGGTTTTGGTTTTCAAGGGAAACTGGTTTCGGGTGCACTGGTTTTTGGTTCGGTTACCCGAACCCAAACCGAGCTATCACCCCTACCAGGATCACTTCAAAGATGCTCGAACTTTTAACCCCTGGTCCGTGGAGATGGCAGGCAAACTACATTATCAGTATTCAGTAACTAGCTTTTACCCGACCCATTGGTCGGATGATTTCATCTTATTTTTCATTACTTCATAATAATCGAAAGTGATCTTTGCACTACTTGATAATTGTGACATTGATAACAATTAGTTCATATGTATTTTTGTTAATCAGATTATCCTAACTCACTACGGCCTATACATGTTTCGTATTAAAAGAATTTGCCCTATTTATTGTATCATAAATTGCTTAAAATTATTTCTGTATATTGGTATTATTAACTTGGTTTACTATTAGATACAAACAAAACTAAAACAATTATGCATTAAATTAAAATAGTAATTAGAATTTCTTCAAGGGATTAACTTATTGCTACAAAAGCATAAAATTGATCATCTTAAGCTTTCCAATCGTGCTCCATCAGACACAAATCAAAAACCTTTCACGAACATAATAGGAGGGAAGCATATAGCTAAAATAAAGAAGCGAAATGGCAGACCGATAGAAACAAATATCAAAAGCTGGCTGGTTGATGGCTGAGAATTACCTTGACTGAGAGAAGCTGCTAGTGGAGTTTTCGCTGAAACGCTTTCGTGGGTCTGTGTGATTTAAACTGCCTTTTATACGCATAACGCAGAAGGTGATTTCGTTTGCTGGCGTGTATCGAGCTTGGGTTGGTAGCTGAAATTACCTCGACAGAGAGAAGTTTATAGTGGCATTTCTAGAGGAAGCACTTTAACACCCCAATTTCTTCGTTAGAACATTGCAGCCACCGACGTCGAATCTCAGACATGGAGAGCAGGAGGATATGGGTGGATCTAGCTACCTCCGACACAATCCCTATTCGACACTGAATTTGCCCACTGACATCCACTTGGACGTCGTCCAACCACTGACATGCAAAACAACCGTTTGATCCTGGCTTCCCAATGAAAGGAGAGGACGGAGAACGACGATAGAGATGAAGGGAGCGGAGGAAGGGCCCTCTACGAAACATTTAGGCCAACAGTGGTAGACGACTAATGTATCAATCCCTAGCCTTTCTGACAATCATTGTTATCCTTATCACCCAACATTTTACTAAACCCATTACCTATTGCAAATTTTAGGTAGAGTTCCTACTAAAGTACACAAATCCCCCTAATACAATTTAATCAGAACCACTGGTTAGACATTCACTCATGGCAAATTTGAGAAACTGGTGCAAAACTCTACCATCCTAAATATGAAAATAGTCAAGTGTAAAAATAATTTAAGTCCATCCAACTATACCTGAAATAATAAGGGATCCCACAGTACATCATCATATACAACTAACATTGCTATGTAAGTTAAGCATTCTAGGCAGGGGCGGATACATGGCCTCTAGGGGTGTCTCGGGACACCCCTAAAATTTGGGGAAACGATTATCCAACCGCTGGTAGTAATTTCGTATGTGTATACAAAATATAATTGGTAATCCGGGACACCCTAACATTTGAAAAAATGATTATCCTACCCTCGATAATAGTTTGCTTATGATTAATAAAATATAAGTGGT